TTTTTAGTTATTTCAAAAACTGAAAATTAGTTTAGGCCATTCTTCACTATTGGGCATATTTTTTTTGTTGTTGTTGTTGAATGGTGTGATAAAATTAACTTTCATCTTAGTGGTCTTTACACTCCAAAATGGTATCAAAACAATGGTAAGACCCATGTATTTTCAAATTTTCCACTTTATTTCAAATAACATAATAGTTACTTTTGTGTATTTAAACAATTATATCTGATCTATGCTAACTGTAAGAATGAATCCATAAAGAAAGACATGATTTTGATGCCTAGCAGAATTTGGAGAGTCTTGAAGAGTGATGATTACACTCTATTAACAATAGTATAGAATCTTTGTCCCAGAATTGCTGTGGCTTCAGCTGGGATGTGCACCTGTCTTCCTTTGGCCTGTGCACTGAAGAACAGGGCCCTGAGACCTTTGGTGGCAGAATCATTCCTACTCTCATGTACATTAAATTTCCTTAAATATTTGAGAACTTGTTCTAACTAGCTTTCTTGAAGAGACAAATCTATATAAATACTTAACATGCTGCAACTTAAATCCTTCTAACTATTTTTAGTTTTTGAGCACCATCTCACATAAAATTAGGGTTTTTAATATTTTCATTTTCACTTCAATATTCAGAGAGAACCTGATAAAGAATAACTATTATCAAAGAATTCTGACCTATACATTTTATTATTTAAGATCAGATTGCTCATTGGCTTTATGCTGCATCATGCCTTTAAACATAAAGAACATGAAAAGTATCCTAAACATACAATTTTAGAAAATACAAGCTCTTAGTAACACAATGCTCAGTTTTACAGCATCATCACTTACATCATCAGCTGTAGGATTTACCAGCAGAATTATAGGAAGAGATTTGTGTAGTTCCTACTGTCCAGTGCTGTATATGATGATTTTGGAGGTCACAAAGGCTGCATCTAATATAATTCTATTAGATAATTATTCAGTCAAAGGCTGAAGAGACTAAAAAATCAAGAGTTTATTAAATCCATAAACGAAGGAGGACACAGGACAAATGTCTCTGAGATTGAAGAGCGGCAAGTGAACCCAGGGAATCACACATTAGCAGATTAGAAACTCGGGGGCCGAATCCACTGACGGAACCGGTACCTGGATAAGAGATCCGTTGGCTATTGATGACGTGCTGGAATTGCCACATGGACAAGCCCAAGAGTTAAAAAACTTCAGGTAACCCACTTATCAGAACACCCTGTAATATTGTGAGATTGATATTTATAATCTTTATTTATGATATTGTGTATAAATATAATACTGCAAGGAGTTTGGCCAGGTTTCCAGTAAATATCAGAGAAAAATCCTCTCCTACTTCCAACAGCTGGGGTGGGGGGTCGGTGGAAACCATTTTAAGGTATCACAGAGCACTCTGCTTTTCCTCACAAGGCGTTCCCTCAGACATTGAAAGCCTAAACTGCCAGGGTATTTTCAGAGCCTAACTGGCCTGGTGGAAGGGAAATCTCCATTGCTAACCCTCCCTAGATATCCCGTTCCATGTAAGGAGAGGAGAAAAAAAATCTGAGGAATGCTTGTGAGTTTCACAGTCCAGAGGTACATGATCACTAAAAGGACCTAATCATAGAACTATAGAATTCTTCCCCTCTCCCCACATTAACGCCTATTGATAGCAGTTCCTTTTACCCAGTGTATCATGTCCAGCTATTGAGAAAAATATCACATGGTCTGATTTGGAGAGAGGAAGAATTAGAAAGAGACATGACAGGCATGTTGGAATTATTAGACCAGGTATTTAAAATAACTATGATCAGTGTGCTAAGGCCTTTAGTGGATAAAACAGCATGCAAGAAAGATGGGCAATGTAAATAGAGATCCTCAGAATCAGGAAGAAATCCTGGAGATCAAAACCACTGCAACAGAAACAAATAAGCTTTAGTGGGCTTATTAGTCGCCTGGACACAGCTGAAGAACGATATCTGAGCTAGAAGACATCACAATAGAAATTTCCAAAACTGAAAAGCAGAGAGAACAAAGACTGAGAAAAAACAACGGCATGTTCAAGGACTTCACAATAAGATGTGTAACGTGTGTAGCGGGAATACCACGTGGATAAGAAAGAGGAAAGGAACAGAAGAAACATTTGGAAAAATAATGACTAAGAATTCCCCCCAAATCAATGTTGGACACAAAACCACAGCATAGAACATGAAGCGGGATAAATGCAAAAACAAAACAAAAATGTAACAAAAACAACCAACCAAACAAAAAACACCCCTACACTTAACATATATCCTTTCCAAGCTATGGAAAATCAAAGTAAAATCTTAGAGAATTTGGAGAGATAAGATGCTTTACATACAGAGGAACAAAGGTAAGAATTATGCTTCTCAGAAATTACACAAATGAGAACTGAGTAGATTGAAACATTTAAGGTATTTTGGGGGATAAACAACAACAAAAAACTGCCAACCTTGAATTCATACCCTGTGAAATTATCCTTCAAAAGTAAAAGACAAACACTTTCTCAACTTTCTCAGACAAACACGAATTGCAAGAATTTTTTTTTTTGGGGGGGGCCAGAAAACCTACTTTGAAAAAAAAAAAAAGTTTTTAGATCAAGGAAAATGATCTAAATCAGAAACTCAAATCTACGAAAGGGAAAGAGAGCCTTGGAAAATAAAAAAGGCAAAATAAAAACTTATAAAGTTATCAAGGATAAATAAAGGCATTATATAACAATGAAGGAGTCATTTCCCCAAGGAGGCATGACAATCCCTAATGTGTAGGGATCTAATATAATTCTATTAGATAATTATTAGACATTATCTAATAATATCTATTAGATAAAACACATTCTATTAGATAATTATTAGATATTATTAATAATATCTATTAGATACAACACATTTATCATGTTGTCATACAACATGAAACAAAATCTACTAGAATTGCAAGAATAGATGAATCGACTATCATCGTCGGAGATTTCTGTACCCGTCTGTCAGAAATAGACCCATTGGTCTGTGTGTCTGTTTTTGTGCCAGTATCATGCTGTCTTGGTGAGCACAGCTTTGTAATACAGCTTGAAGTCAGGCATTGAATGGGTGAGCTGGGTGACGGGTATTAAGGAGGGCACGTACTGCATGGAGCACTGGGTGTTATACGCCAACAATGAATCATGGAACACTACAGCAAAAACTAATGTCATACTGTATGGTGACTAACATAACACAATAAAAAAGAAAAGAAATGGATAGACCCAGTAGGCAGAAAGTCAATAAAGTCATAGTTGAACTCAATAATTCTTGCTGTCCTGGAAGTAGAAGAACACTTTAGCAATATTTGTAATAAAATATTTTTAGGAACCTGGGAGAGATAGTTGGTATTTCATGCAACCTAACATATTTAATTTCTGCAACTTATTATAATAAATTCCAATTAGTATATTTTTTACCTTTTTCTGTTTCACAATTTTCTCATCTCTAAAATGAAGATTATGTTTTAAAAAACAATTTCAGTGATTCATAGCTTTTACTTTAGGCAGCATTTCCCTACCCAAACTGTACTGAACAGAATAAGAAGCTTCCTAAATTCCCTACCAGCACCTGGGGAGCAAAGATGAGAAGAAAGAAGAAATAAAATTACATTGACCAAATAGGTGTTTAGAGGAGGAAATGTGTGTAATACTTAAATATCTGCTCATTGATATTGGGACTGAGAACCAGATTTGTGGAAAAGTAAACTTGCAGAAGCCATGGAAAGACTATATGTAGCAAACTAAAATATTATTTTCTTTTGTTTTCCTTTTTTTTTTTTTTTTTGTCAAAACGATTGAGAATTTGGATGTTCGGGAAGATTGTTAACAATATCAGAAGGTTCTAAAGCACGTGTCTAAATAGGATCACAGTCACTATAAAACTCAATGTTTCATTATTTCTTTAACCAACGTGGTTAACAAGGGATTTCATAGGCAAAAACATTGGATTATCTAGTTGTTAGCAAAACTTTGCTCCTTTAATTTTGAGAAGTTTTAACTGTTTCAAGTAGTCAAGACCTGATAAGGACAAAACAGAAACTCTGCTTATAATTTCTTACTAAAGCAGAGCAATAATCCAAGAAAACCATCTTTTTAGCAGAGAGAGAAACCAAGTTTCAGTTTTATACCAGTGTACTTTTAAAACCTATTTATTCCAATCCAAGTCAGTCCTGACCCTAGGAAAAATTCTCCAGTGATTCCCCTTCACAAATGTTTTACAAATTTCTTTTTTCTTCTTCTTTTTTTTTTTTTTTCTTTTTCAATACAGATTTTGGTGTAAGCCTCCTGTCTCTAAATAACCAGTTTCATTTTGGGACAAAATTACTTTCTTTTCCCTCAACAAAAATGTATTTTTATCCCTTTTGTCTTTTTATGCACCTCTTTCTTACACACAGAGTTGCTTCCCTGAGCCATTCTAGCATCTTGATTACATTTATCAGAGTTTTAATTCTTAGAAACCTTAGTTTCTAAAAACGAAGTAGTAATGAAAAATGAACTGTACTACTCCCACGTCTTCCCAAGCCTCGCTAGATAATCAGCTTTTATTTTACCAAACTTACGAGTTCAGTTCATGTTGGGACTGGTGCAGTTTGCCAGCAAAAATGACCTAAGATCATGGTTGATTTTTGTCTCTGGAAGTTTTCATGGCTAATTGTTAAAAACAAGTTGGTTGAAATATTAAAAATATTGTAGACAAATTATTAAGTGGCTTTCAAAATCTTTGGTAACCTAACACTTTGAAGTTTTGCTAGGTTAAATGATATTTATTGGATATTTGAGTCTTCTCTAAGATAAAATGCGGAAGCATTAATTATTAAACATAGGTTTAAAATAGTCTATTTTAATGCTAGTGTCAGGATAATTTTCTCAGGTGCTGTTACAGGATGTGTCAAGATTGCTCTAGTTTTGGACTGCGTATCTTAAAGTCCGCTAATTTTCTCTCTGCCATAATTTGGGAAATGTTTTCCAGGTACCTCCAATGGGTGCTGTGATTTTGAATTTGACCTCTGTTCTTGGGAGCAGGAGCAGGATGATGACTTTGACTGGAATCTGAAAGCTAGCAACCTCCCTGCTGTAGGCACAGAGCCAGCTGCTGATCACACCTTAGGAAACTCCTCTGGTCATTACATCTTCATAAAGAGCGTGTTCCCTCAGCAGCCCATGAGGGCTGCCAGAATTTCCAGTCCAGTCATCAGCAGAAGAAGCAAAGATTGCAAGGTAAGAAAAATACCCAGAAATGTTGTGACTGCTGAGAGCGCTAATAGAGAAAATGGAATGGCCAGGACCAGACCAATGCTGAGTTTGAATTTCTTCAACCTAGGATATGTATGGCAAGGAGAAAGTACCGTATGGATGAAAGAGAAAGGTTGTTAGAACTGTGGGAAGAATTTATCCTATTGATAAATTCCATAGTTATTTGAATTGTGGAAAGCACCAGAAGACTTCATGGTTACTCTCCGTAAAGTATGGATAGTACAAAGGAAGTAAAATGCAGTTGCTTACCCCTCAAGGAATTTAGTACTTACTGGAATTATGAGAATTTCACCATCAGAAAGAAAATTCAAGTAGCATATATTTAAATATTCCCAAGAACAAATGTTAGAGATAGCTGGATCTACTGTAAAATGGTTGAAGAAGTCTTCATGAAAAAGGAAAGACGAAAATTAGCCCTAAAAAAAGGTAGAAGAGGGTTTAGCTATTATCCTGTGGAACTTTCAGGAAAATGTTAGTACTATTATAAGTATAAATAGGATTGTATGGCTCTTTGGGACAACCAGCCTCTATGATGACTGTGTATTTTCAGGTCCTTCCCTTTTGTTTATTGATTGCTTTTATTTCACAAAGAATGGAAGTCAGCTGAGTTAGATTCTAAACTTAGCTTTATGTATAACATAAATTAACCACTCAGAGATGACTTCCCGAGAATCTTGCTTAAAAAGAATAGTATATGGGCACCTGGGTGGCTCAGCAGGTAAAAGCCTCTGCCTTCGGCTCAGGTCATGATCCCAGGGTCCTGGGATCGAGCCCCATGTCAGGCTCTCTGCTCAGCGGGGAGCCTGCTTCCTCCTCTCTTTCTCTCTCTCTGCCTGCCTCTCTGCCTACTTGTGATCTCTGTCAAATAAATAAATAAAATCTTAAAAAAAAAATAAAAAGAATTGTATATGAATAAATGTGGCATTTATATTTACAATGGGAAGTGTGATCTCCATAGGATCGGAACACACATATTCTGACTGGTGAGTTCTCAGGGTCTGAACACTGAAAGGAAAGCAAATTACATTCAGAAAGATGTCAGCTGATCAAAGACAAAAGCATGATCAAAATCTTTGTTGTCTTCAAAGTATAATACCCTTGTGTTGCCACCTCCACCACAGAGCCTTAACCTTTGGAAGGAGACATTTTAAACCTTTGGCCCAAGACGCCCCAGATTCCCTGCCCCCATTACAGGTGCTCACTCCTCTGTTTTGTACCGAGCAGCCTTCACTTCCTACCATTGTCATGGTTTTAATGCATGTTAAGCTTTTAGTTTGTATTGGAAGTTTTACTGTTTCATCTTAAGTTGATTTCATAGTTTAACTCTCAGGGGGTAACCTCATTTCTATTATCTTGTGAGGCACATTTGATAGAATTTTCTGCAAGAGAGTGACATGATCTGATCAGAGTTTTAGAGAGAGAACTCAGCAGTCTAAAGCAAATATAACAAATTATACAGAATAACATTAAACTTTATCTAATTCATTTGGCAAAAAAAAGAATTTTAATCAAATATATTTCTCATCTGTTTTGTTGTTTTCCACATTACTTGATAGGTTTCTCCAAAACAAAGCCCAAGCACACCAGATTTTATATGTCAAGTCTCTATCTATAAATCTCTTATGTTCATAGATGTTCTGAAATTTTACAAATTTTAGTCTTAGAAAGCTAATTAAAAATTAAGCACAAAATGTATAGTATTCCAGCTTGACTTCATGGCTTTTTAACTTAAGCTTCCTCTGAAAATGCTCCAAAGGTTTGTTTTGTAGTAACTCAGGATTTCATCCATCTCTATTTTGCCCTGGTCCCGGAACTGTAGTCCCCACTGTTTTAAACATCTGTGTGAGAATAATGAAATATGCCTAGAAGAAATGTCAAAAAATTAATGATGAATGGTTCATTTTATGAATATTTATGATATAGATTGAATACAAAGAAGTGAGGAAAGGTCATGCTGGGAATGATTGTGTAGCTCATATAAAAAATATGTATATCAGGTAAGCAGAGTGACCTTCCAGATTTCATGAAAATCCTTTCTGTCACTTGACCTTGTGGAATACCTTGAAGCAGAACAAAATCAAATTGAAGATTTTTCTTCCTTTTTAGGGATGGATGGTAGGAGGAATGAGACAGATTGATATGGGAAGGGATGAGACCTTTGAGTTACTATGAAATTTTCAGAGAAAGTGCCTCTCTAGTTGAATCTCGTACTTAGCATTCCCTCACTATGCCCTGCAGTTAGACTATGTTGTTGTCAAGTATTTTCTTAACATGTATAAACACACATATCTGTATGTTTGCATGTTAACCACATGGGATCATTCAAAAAATGACCTCAAGAAGACAGGGAAATATTTATTGCAACTTAAGAGGTAGGGCTCAGATTTGTTGCACAAATAAGACAAAACAAGGCAGACGTCTAGAAAGGCCATGTCTGTGACTGCAGGGAATCCAGACAGACATGTGTGACGTGCATTGGACCATTTTCTCTTGTATCTGTTGATGCTGGTCAAGAGGTTGGCCATAGGCCCCTTATGTTTCTTCCTCTCATGAGTCATATAACCCAGATTTCATGGGTCTTCTCCCAGAACAAGTCATAATGGTCACAGAGCTTGTGTTGGAAAGCTTTGTCAATAGAAGAAACAATTTTGGATCACAGAAGAATGCCTGAAGGTTTCATCAGCTAGGAAATTTGAGTAGTGTCACTTCACATGGTTTACTTATTCTATTCTAAGTTGATGCTTTTTGAAGTATGCACTGCATAATTTGTTTAGTCAGATTCTTTTCCCCTTAAGCACATTCATTCCTTTCTTTCTCTAAAGTGTAATATTACATGACTGCTGGTGTTTCAAAAATGCCTTTATTCTGTGTGGGGATCACTCACCTTTACTGTGTTCCCTCATTCATACACATGATAAGACAAAAGCTTAAAAGTGCTCTGAGTTCGTATTTTTTCTAACCTACACAGTTCTTTCTCCTAGAATTTCCCCTAACTTTTCCCTTCTGTGTAACAATTACTAAGAATCTGGTGAGCTGTTAATCTTTGAAACTACTTATATTGATTTTTCTTGTGGGGGGAGAAATGCCCAAGGCTGCTTTCTTAGATCATATCTCTAGCATTTCAGCTAAATTTGGATAACTGCTGTCCTGTTGCTGGTAGTTGGTGGTAGATAGCAGAGCCCTGAAAATCGTGTAGATCTAAAAACATGTTTCAAGTGCAAGAATATGGTAGAATAAGCAACAGAGTACTCCACTGTTTTGAAGAAAATGATTTAAATTTTAAAAGACTGAAAATGGTCTTCTTTAGTTCCTATTATTGTTTAATCATGAAGAGTCTTTAGATAATGGATCACTTTTTAACGATATTTTATTCCTTTGCCAATGGACTTTAGGAGTTTATTGGGAAATTCTCCATTTAGAAGTTAAAGAATGAAAATAAACTCTGCTCAGGTTTTCATCTAAATTTTTTTTTGATTCTTACTGCTCTGTCTTCCATGTATCATAACTTATAATTTAAGGCTGGCCTGACTCCACTCAGTATTAGAGTACTCACAGAACAACAGGGCACGCAGATCTAGTTTTCCTTTGGGAGTCTGTTAGTAAAGGAGAGGGCAATATGATACAATTGAAAGTAAAGTAGAGTTAATCGTACTAGTTATATACAATATTCCTGTTTTGGGTTACAGGTCATTTTTCATTATCACATGTATGGAAATGGCATCGGGGCACTCACCTTGATCCAGGTGTCAGTATCCAACCAAACAAAGGTCCTACTTAACCTCACTGTAGAACAAGGCAATTTCTGGCAGCGGAAGGAACTATCACTGTCTGGCGATGAGGACTTCCAACTTCAATTCGAAGGAAGAGTTGGTGAAGGACACCATGGTGATATTGCCCTAGATGACATTGTGCTTACAAAGAGCTGTCTGTCACCTCACCGCTCTGTGACAGAAGACCTCCCCGAGCCTCTTCCAACAGGTACATTTTAACAACAACATTTTAAGTTGTGATTGCTTGGTATTTTTATAGAGTAGAAAGGTGGAAGGGAAGGAAAGAAATGGAGAAGAAATGATAGAAACCCCGAGTGATTCATTGCTTTCATAAAGAAAAAAGTCTTAAAATCTTTCAAGCCTTGACTCATAATGCTGTCCTCCAGATTTTTTCCAAGCTTCAGTGTGTTTACTAGTTTCTGACTTCTGTTTAGTCAGCTGCTTCTTAGATCAACAAATAAGAGAAGACTCCTTTGTTTGCAGTCCGATTCAGAATTGAATCCTTAACAAATATCATTTTACCCAATGAAATATAAGAACATCAGAAACAGAGTTACTTGATTTTAATTAGGCATGACTGTGGATGGGCCATTTACTTTATTCTTTTTAGACCTGTGGATATTGCGATTTGAATGGTTGCATTTACATATTTAAATAGTTCAGGAGATTGAATATGTTCATATACTCTTTTAAACCCTCCTTCGATAATTTGTCTAAGGAATTATATCAGCATAATGGTATGTATATGTTCAATATAATGTGTATAGTAACAATGTTGTAGGAAGTGGGAATAGCAAGCACCATTGATCTATGTGATCTCTCAGTGTTATGGAATGAAAATAAATGCTGCCTATGTTATTAAAATGAAAGGACAGCAGATTTTGTCAATTTATAGGACATATTAATATTTAAACCCTGAGTTTACTGAAGAAACCGAAAGTGCCATTCCTTTGGTATATAAATTATATCTCTTATAATTAGTGAAAAAGAAAGTGCTTTAAAAAGAACAAATGTTTGCTCTGGCTTTTAGCATGGTAGATGGAATAAGGAACATTGCACTTAGTATTTTCATTTGGTTAAGAGGAAGTTTCTAGATCGATGTTTCCCTGTTGACTGATTGTTGAACAGAGTCTTTCCCTGACATGTTTCTAGCGCTATGTGGAATAGTATAGAGAAAAACAAATGAACATTTGAAGGATGTTTAGATATAAGTGTCCTCATGAAATTGTAATGCAGGAGCATTTCAGATACCTCAGACTTCATCTACTTCCTTGAGAAAAGCTTTGCTTTCCATTCTGTGTTGACTGGTTGGATGGTGGCTATACTAGCTTGTGTATAGGTCTAGCCTTTGAAAAAATAATCTAATAGCATCTACATAGTGAGGGAGCAAGGTTTATGTTCAACCACTTCAAACTTTTATGAACAGCTATAAAGCGGGGCACATGAAGAACAAATCAGTCTTCTTGGGAATGTCAGATTCTTAAATTGTGAAATCTAAGATAAAAGTTAGTTAAAAGCCATTTCCAAAAGGAAAATTTTAAAGTATCTACAAAGTGGTATAAAATATATATTATTGGACACATATTAATAATGGTAGAGTTCTTTGTATATCCTTATGATACTTGAAGTATCATATTAAAGTTTATTTCTTTTATTTCTTTTTTATATTTTTTAAATTTTTTATAAACATATAATGTATTATTAGCCCCAGCGGTACATGTCTGTGAATCACCAGGTTTACACACTTCACAGCACTCACCATAGCACATACCCTCCCCACCACCCTCTCCCTACCCCCCGTACCCCCAGCAACCCTCAGTTTGTTTTGTGAGATTAAGAGTCTCTTATGGTTTGTCTCCCTCCTGATCCCATCTTGTTTCATTTATTCTTTTCCTGCCCCCCGAGCCCCCCATGTTGCATCTCCACTTCCTCATATCAGGGAGATCATGTGATAGTTGCCTTTCTCCGATTGACTTATTTCGCTAGGCATAATACCCTCAAGTTCCATCCACATCATTGCAAATGTCAAGATTTCATTTCTTTTGATGGCTGCATAGTATTCCATTGTGTATGTATATACCACATCTTCTTTATCCGTTCATCTGTTGATGGACATCTAGGTTCTTTACATAGTTTGGCTATTGTGGACATTGCTGCTATAAACATTCAGGTGCACATGCCCCTTCGGATCACTACATTTGTATCTTTAGGGTAAATACCCAGCAGTGCAATTGCTGGGTCGTAGGGTAGCTCTATTTTCAACTTTTTGAGGAACCTCTATGCTGTTTTCCAGAGTGCTGCACCAGATTGCGTTCCCACCAACAATGTTGGAGGGTTCCCCTTTCTCCGCATCCCCACCAGCACCTGTCATTTCCTGACTTGTTAATTTTAGCCATTCTGACTGGTATGAGGTGATATCTTATTGTGGTTTTGATTTGTATTTCCCTGATGCTGAATGATATGGAGCACTTTTTCATGTGTCTCTTGGCCATCCATATTAAACTTTTTGATGAATGGAAAATAAAAGAATGTCTGCTCTTAAGAATAATTCAGTATGATAAAGGGTTATAGGAAAAACACCTCAAGTAACTCTAATAGTAGGTAGGCTATAATTAAGTGCCGGGAGAAGTACACAAAACTTTATGAGAATGCAAAAAAAAAAAATGAAGAAAACCCCCAGCTGAGGGCATCTGATTTGAGGGTTATTTATAGGATGTGCAGGAGTTTGGAACCTCACCTGGGGCTTATAGGAAGGAAAGCCTCCTTTGGTTTGCTGGATAGGGTTGCCATGTGTGAGGGCAGTAGATCAAATAATGAATGTGGGGAGGAAAGCACTGTGGGCACATCTAAGGGCATGAGACAGGAGAGACGGTGTCACACAGGCTGCCAAGGTGGCCTGTCCTGTGAGTGGATAATTTGTCTGAAGCAGGAACCTAGTATCCCTGAGTCTCTGTGATAATATTACAAAAGAAATAGGGAGCTAACCTGGGACCAACTCAATTATTGGCTTGTTTCAGTTTTTTCCCCAAATGAACATGCATTGAAAATGTATTGACTAGTCTTAGGAAACAAATAAGAAGGAAGAAAGAAAGGAAGGGAAAGCAAAGGAAACAATAAAAGCTCAAAAGAAGGTATCATATTCCTTTGCATAAAGTATGATAACTGGTAGAAATGGCTGTGGTAGAAGGACTCCAAGAAGAAAAATTAAAAAAAAACAACCAAATGTCTTTATTTAAATTATTGATGAACACTCTGAAAAATAAGGTGAAATACTTGAATTTTTTGATGACTCCCTTAGCTACAATGCCCACATTCAAATGTGGCACATGAGAAATATGTGTGTATAGAGTTAATATTCCTACAGACTATTGGAGTATTTGTAACTGTGCCTCCAGAAACATAAAGTATATGACTTTCTCTTGGGAAAAGTGAAAAGCTACACCTTGTTTAGACTTGAACTATGAAGCGATTCTGACACACTATGATATCATTTTGAGTTTAGAAGACTGTGTTGGAGTCACTGATATTTTTAAAGGAATGCTCCCACTCTCTCTCTCTGTCTCTGTCTCTCTCTGTCTCAGGGGGGGTGGAGGAGGGTGGCATCCTGAACACATCACTGATACCATGAATGTCTAATAGAAGTATAAAGAGAGTCGCAAATGTGAACTACATAGGTAGTTTTATGTTTTCTAGTAGTTCTATTTTAAAAAAGTGAAATCAATATATTTTCATTAACCTAATATATTAAAAAAATTATCATTTCAATACAAAGGCAATATTAATAAGATGTTTTAAATTCTGTATATTTTATTCTCACAACACACCTCAGTTGGGATCGCCTGCATTACCTACATTTCAGTTGCTCAGTAGCCTCTTCCGGCTAATGGCTACCATAGTGGACATAGTGGACATAGATTGGACAGTCCAGGAGGTGAAGTGAATATTCTAGGGCATTTTCAGGTCTGTCCATGGGGTTCCATTAGTTAGGGCAGAGTTCCTGAATATCCAAGAATTGCTGTTATATTCTTTAAATAGAAGTACATGTATGTTTCCCCAACACCAAGTGTGAAAGCACAGGTACCATGTTTGAGAAGACTAGCTACTCATCTCAGATTCCCTTCTTACTACTATGTATGGCCTAACTGCCCTGAGACTCAAATTTCCTCATCTGTAAAGCAGAAAGAGTATCTCTTATTTCTTAGGCCCTTGAGAATAGAGGTCATTGCCTATGTAATTTGCCTAGTCTCATGTCTGGCACATGGTAGACATTTATTCAATAAAATCAACTCATATTATTCTTTATTTGGGGCATCTTTGTCAGTTTTCCTTAGGTGGTATAGATATTTGAGAGTAAGCCTCCATTATTTGCACTTTATTAAGGATATGTTTCTTTCATATATTTTGAAAAAAATGTTTTTTTCTTGCCGAGATCACATATAATTTTTTCACATTGCATTGTAATTGCTCAATCTTATCACTTTCTGACCATCTAATTAAATATTTTTGATGTGTCATTAATAACATGTGTATATACCTATCTTGAAAAGGCTGCTAATTTCTCTTTCCTGTGAAAACACTTAACTTGGAACTTGTACAGATTGAAGAAGGGTAAATGGCATTATGTGCCATAAACAGTAGCTACGTCCATTAAACTTTTGAAAATGACTCTTATTCCCATGCTTTTCATTGATATTCATGTGGGTAGGCTAACAATTCTATCAAGGGTGGCTTAAAATAGGAAAGACAAGAGGAGATAAAACATATATATTTAGGAAGAGGCAATTGAACTGAATCTGAAATCAGTGATTCTAATTAGTCAAATAAGACCCAGGACTTTATTAGCAAAAGTAATATTAAATTATTTTTAAGTCTCTAGAAGTTATATTTGAGAGCTTATTTTGATGGCAATTTTGTTAATTGCTAAATGATGATGGATAAAAATAATTGTTTAATGAATTTTAATAAGAAAAAGGCAACCAGGATTCATCTTCTAAATGTCCATATGCAAATTTCATCACTATCATATTCTCTGCATTGTTGGCAGACATTTAATAAAAATTCCTAGTGTAATGAAGGCAGGGAACAGGTGTAAGTGTGTGTGTGGGTGTGGGTGTGTTTTAAATCCCTATAGTCATTTCCAAATATGAGTTATACAACAAATATATTTTGGGATATCACATGCTAATCAACTTTTGCTTTAAGAAAATG